AAACCCTAGGAATTCCCCCCCTACTGGGAATCAAATGGTCAGTATTGAAGCTGGACGCGGTTTGGTGTTTCGCTGATGCGCGCGGATAGTGGAGTTTGGTGCCATCCTTGTGCTCCCCTGGGAAGTTCAACCTCCAGAGTCAAGAGAGCTCCACATTTCTCTCGTATTCTGGTGCTTCTAGCGGAATCGTCGAATTCGCACAAGCCACCGTCCATGCAAGTCTTCCGGTGAACTTTGTGCTGCAGCAATCGGGTAACAACATTGCGTAAGTTTTTCCATTCAGTCCATTCTTGTCCGCCTGACATATACTCCATCTGAAGCTTTGTGGAGGCTGTCACCAATATGACGCTGACGTCTTGGCCTATTCAGATCTCCGCGAGCCTTATAAGCCCCCCGGTAGAATTTACGACAGTCCCTTGTACCTATCAGCTCATATTTGGATAGGTCACATACGAGGTTTTCCACGGCGCTCCCCAGCAGTTTTGGAGCGTTTCTGTCTGAAAGGATTCCAGAGATGAGGGCACTGTGAACCGAGGCTTTTCCGTCCCGTCTGGTGATCGTCGATACCAGGAGCGTAACCTCTGTACGATTAGTTTTTGTAGGAGTTCAACCTCCATTCAGTGTGTAGCGAAATCATGACCGGTGTTTAGTGCTAGTTGAACACTGTTGAATAACGATCTAGGGCGTTTCTCAGAACAAGCTATCTGATTTTGATTTTTGCGGAGGATGACGTGTTGAAGCGGCCGTGCAAGTAAAGTAAACTGGGACCACCGTGGGAAAAGTTCCGGTAAGTAAAGTCAAGTTAGCCATGCCAAAATTAGGCGGTAAGTAAAGTTTCAAGTTAGGATATAAGTCACTTTATTGGTCCTCGTCAGGGAACCGGTATTATTTTCTGGTTGTACACTGATATACAGACAATTGATTTTGTACTTCCTCCGCTCATAGACACTCCTTACCTACATTTACGCCCCCTGCTTCACACTGACGACATCCATCTGCTGCTGACCGGTGACCGCCGGCTGTGTATTTTTCCTTGACGTTGATTTTACAGCTGTTCAGGTCATATTAATGCGGTGGCTCGCAGGGTACTACCATTTCTGAATGAATGTAAGCTAGATCCCTGTAAATCCTGTCTCGCGGCTCATCGCCTGTCTTAAATGTCTAGAATCACGGCATGCGTCTATTTGCCCAAAATCGAGGATGTATGCTTCGGCCCGATACCCCTGGCCTTCTCTAGAATCTATGTATAATTTAATTTATCGGTCTCTCCCACTGCCAACTCAGGTTTTAGATCTGGCGGGATTGTGCTATGTGTTCCGTTCTATCTGGACGCAATCTTTCTTTATCTCTCTTGTGTGACATGTGCACGATATCCGGATAACTGAAGTCTGTTTTCTTTAGTTTCTACCCTCATCAACGCTGACAATATTTCTGATCTCTGTTTTCCCTGACGACATCCATCTCCCGTGGACGGTCCGTTCAGTCTCTCAATGTAAGCTCCCCTCTGCCGCCTGCGCATCGGCGATGTTTTCTTATATATACTATTCCAAGATGGAATCGAACCCCGTCTGCTGTGTCGACTCATCAAGATGTTCAACCAAGTGCAGTAGTGTTCTGTACATCAAATTTGAGTACTCTCTCTCTTTTGCAGCCATTTTTATGTGGGATTATTTCTGAGTTGAACTATTGAAAGGGCCGCCAATCCCTTGTTCAGACACGGGAAGTCGAACCCCATTTGCTGCGTCAATTCGCTACCCACATTTACATCGAGGACAGCTGTGTCCCGTAAACCAAGTCTGAATAAGTACTTCCTTTCTACCGCAGATGTGTATATGCCGGTTCATTTGTAGTCTGAATGAAAAAGCCTGGAGTCACAACGAATTCAGACACGGGGAGTCGAACCCCATCTGCTGCGTAACTCTCCTCCCCATGAAGTGCACGCAGTCATGTTCCGTACACCAAGTCTGAGTATTTTATATCCCCTACAGATCATTGTATGGGGGTTATTTGTTGTTGAATCAAAAATATGTGGGGCTCTGAGTCGAACCCCATCTGCCGCGTATCAATATGTATCTCGGTTCCATACACCAAGTCTGAGTAATACCCCTCCTCTGCAACTACTTTTACGTGATATTATTTGTACGTTGAATAATACAAAAAGTTTTATTTCAAGCACGGAAATTCAGACACGGGGAGTCGACTGTCTGCTGCGAAAGTGACTGAATGAGTTTATATCTGTCGCGGCCGTGTTCCGTACACCAAGTCTGAGTGCTTCCTTTCATGTACAGTTACTTTTATGTGGGATTATTCATGGGTTGAATTTAAAAAAGCAGGAAGAATTCCAAATTCAGACACGGGGAATCGAGCCCCGTCTGCTGCGCAACTCTCCTGTCTATCCCTAACCGAGCGCAGCCGTGTTCCATACACCAAGTCTGAGTACTGGCTTTCCTTTGCAGATTATTTTATGTGAGATTATTTGTACGTTCAATCAAAAAAGGATTTCCGCAATAACGAAATCAGACACGGGGAGTCGAACCCCATCCGCTGCGCCAATACCTGAAGACTCTTCTAATACAGACAGCAGCTGTGTTCCCTACACCAAGTCTGAGTTCTCTCTTTCCTCTGCGGCTGCTTTTATGCGAGATTATTCGTGGGTTGAATTAAATGTCACATTCTCTTTCGAATTCAGACACGAGGAACCGAACCCCGTCTGCTGCGTCACTTCGCTCGAAGGAACTTATCGAGCGCAGCAGTGTGCTGTCTGCACCATGTCTAAGTACTTCCTCTCACTTGCAGGTACTTTTATGTGGGACTATTTGTACGCTGAATCAAAAAGAATATGAATTCAGACACAGGGAGTCGAACCCCGTCTACTGCGTCAATTCGTGTTGAACTTCAACTTTTACCGAGTGCAGTTGTGTTCCGTACACCAAGTCCGAGGATTTGCTTACTATCTTCGCGAGCAAGACAGTAAAGCAAAGCAAAGACGCGGGCACGCAAAGAGCGAGCGTCGCGTGCAGATGTCGACAGAAAAGAAGACGTAACGCCTCGCCGCGCAGAGGAGGAACGTCGGATGCAGGACACCAAAGCAAAAGCAAAGACGCGCGGAGAAAGAGACAGGCGCGGGATGACAAAAAACGGGGGACAAAAGGAGAGCGGGGGAGGAGCGCAGGGGACCCCGCGCGGTACTATACGGAGACTCCGCGGGCACGGTGCTGGGCGAGCTGAGCGAGTGCAGCGGATGCGCACGGGGCGACTCTGGGCGGTGTCGATGCGTGGGGGGTCGCGCGTGCTGCTTCCTCCCCCTTGTCCACTGCTGTTGGGAGAACGCACAGACGAGCTGGACGCGGACGCAGGCGGCGTGTACGGGCTCGGTGTGCGCACGCTGGGGTTTTGGCGGGCAGACGCGGATGGTGGGGATGGCGATAAGGAAGGGCGAGCGGGCAATTGGCGAGCGGAGGAACCGGGCGACGACGAGGACGATGTCGATAACGACCGCGGCGCGGGTCGTGCGCAGGGCGGGGGCGGTGATGTGGATGGGGTGGAGGGCGCGGAGGATTTGGGTGTAGAAGGTGAAGCTGACGTCGAGGAAGGAGACTTGGGCACCAACGCCGCAGACGATTTGAGCGTGGACGGCGAAAATGACGAGGAAGGGTGCTGCTGCGCGCGGGCAGCTGCAGCGACGAGGCGGAGGAAAATGTGGACGTCGGTGCGGGTCATGCGGACGTGGTGGCCATTTGGCGCGCGGCGGACGCGGTGGTGGCGGTCGCTGTGTTCGAGGGGGCGTGTTCCCAGACAGTGGAGCGACCGATCGCGGGTGGACGTGGGTGTGGCGCGCTCGCTTGTGGACGCGGGCGTCGTGCGGTCCCGCGTGGACGTAGACGTGGACCACCCGCCGCAACCGAGGACGTGGACATGGACGTCGTTCGGGGGCGTAACGAGCCCGAGCCCGCGTTGGGTGAGGGCGGGCCTTGGTGGTGGCACTACTCGAATTCACACCCGTCCCAGCACCCGCACCCCGCGCCGCCGAGCGCTACTACTCGTCGTCATCGACGCCTTGCATGGGGGCCCTGCGATGCTGGGCCGGCGCAGGGCCGAGCGCGGTGGAGGCGCCTTGGGGGCGAACGCCATCCGATTGCTCGGTGGTTATGGAGTCTGTGGCGTGAATCACGAGCTTGGGGTCTGTGTGCGCAATCGTTTGTGGGTGCTGGTGGGCGGTACAAGATTAGCCTCGAGGATACTGGTTAGCGCCCAGCCCAACGCCGTTCGCAGCTCCAAGCGGCCCAGCCTCGCGCTGTACCGCGTACGTCTCGTCTAAACTCGCTCGTCGTCGGGCCAAGCACAAGAACGATCGAACGAAATGAGTGGAGCAGAGACACGGCGCAAGCGTCCCCGAGAAAAAAAGAAAGTGCTTCCATCCTCAGATTGTGATACGAAATCAGTGATTGACGGATAGGGGGCGATTAGAAAATAATTGTTGGGTGATCCCAATCGCATGGTAGAGGACATCACGCGTTGTTAAATTATCTCTTCAAATACATAAAATCCCGGCGCACACTCCTCAGCTCACCTCAACAATACCGACACGCCCCTGGGCCTTAACAGAGAACGTAGGCGGGCGTGTATACAGGTTCATTTGGTACCAAGAAACGGCCCAGCAGCACAGTGGTGTGTGTCTACATTCATTAGGGCAGAAGTACTTGCACTGCATGTGTAGAAGGAGCTCGTTCGACTCGGGCCTGGGCCATCCAATTGCTTGGCTGAATTTTGTCTGGCAAATATTTTGAACGCACTTACCCTAGTTTATTTTATACCCAGAAACGGCCCATCAGCACAGTGGTGTGCGTTTACCTTCAGTATGGGCATAGTCTAAGGCACCGATTCGTGTAGGGGGAGCTCGTTGGAGTCGTACTCGGGTCTGGGCCATCCTTCTTTTATTTATGTTCAACATTCAACTCAATTTCACACACAGTTACCTGAGGGAGAAGAAATGGGGGAAAGGCCCAGCAGCACAGCGGTGTGTGTCTACATCTAGTGCCCGACTTCCTAAGAGTTTGTGTAGAAATCAGCTCGTTCGACTCGAGCCTGGGCCATTTTTTTTGTTTTTGTTTATTTACCGCCCATCCCGATCATGGCTGGTTTGATTTTATGGAAATAAAGACCCAGCAGCACAGCGGTGGGCGTCTACATCCAATTGTGGATTATTTGGAAAGTGTAACATGTAGATAATGCTCGTTTGACCCGACGTGGGTCACTTACTTTTCATCCCAGTTCAATTTCGAACACACTTACCTTAGTTAGCAAAAAAGCAATAAAGGGCCCAGAAGCACAGCGGTGTGCGTCTATATCCAGTCACAGACTGTCAGCATTCCGTTATGTAGAAGAAGCCCGTTCGACTCGGGCCTGGGCCACCCTTTTTTTTTTGTCTCAACGGAAGTTCGAGCCCACTCGGCAGAGTTGATTTGATACCCCAAAAGCCCAGGCATGTCTGCATCTGATGCTGTTCCGACAGTATCCATTCATGTGGAAGGTGCTCGAGCTTGGGCCACTTCTGTTTTTATTTCTCCACTCACTTCAAACGCACCTGCCCTGGTCGGTGTGAAGATGAAAAAGCCCAGCAGCACAGCAGTGTGCGCCTGCATCCAATGAGAAGATGAGCAAAATATATCATGTAGATAATACTCGTGGCCGTCCCTTTTTATTCCTTCCCCCGTCGATGCATTTTGAGCGCATGTATTTAGGTTCACGTTATACCAAGAAACGGTCCAGCAGCACAGCGGTGTGCGTCTATGATCAGTGCGGGAGTGCAAAATAATCTATAATAGATGCTCGTTCGACTCGAGCCTGGGCCATTCATTTTTTACTGTATTCCTCAACTCAAAATCTTTTAAAGAAAAAAGCAGTCAGAGATATGATCTCCAATCCCAATTTCGAAGAGTTCTAAGAAACGTGCAGGGGCCTAGAAGGCCTATGAATTTTTAAACTCCGGTGCAGCACTGTCGCATAATATACACACGAAGCATATTATATATTGATTATATATATGTGGAAGGTACTTATGAAGAATGAAGGCACAGCAGCACGTCTACTCCTGGTTAGGAGAAGCTCATGTAGAAAAAGGCCCTTCGACTATAGCCTAGGTCAAATTTTTATCCTTTAACTTAATTTCGATCTTGAAAACACTTACCCCGGTCGACCTTATACCTAACAACGCGCCCATCCGCACAGTGATGTGCGTCTACCAATAGAGCGAGCTGGATGAAATTTTGGGAAGAAGAAGCTCGTTCGACTGGGCCAAGGCCATCCATGTTATTCCCAATCCACTTTCGAGCACATGTATTCAGGGTAGAAGAAGGGCCGAAAAGGCCAGCAGCACAGTGGTGTGCGTCTACATCCAGTTATGGACCTTTCGGACGGAAGCTTTCTTCTAGTAGAAGGATCCCATTCGATTCGGACCTGGGCCGTCATTCTTTTTTTAATCTCAACTTGATTTCAAACACATTTAGACCACACTAACCGGAGTTGGCAAAAATAAGGTATGACGGTCCAGCAGCACAGTAGCGTGCGTCTAGATGTGAGTTCAAATTTGTGCGTCTGGAGCCTGGGCCACTGCTCCCTTTTTAAGTTGAAATTTTGATTACTCAACTTGATTTCAAGCACAGTTACCCAAGGTCACTTTAAATCAAGAAATGGCCCTGAAGGTCCGAACTGCAACCGTGAACATGTATTTTACTCCCTCGCATTCCCTTGTGCCGGTCCTGCCTTGGGCGACCCTCACCGCAATCGAGATGCATCTTCCAATCAGCTTTTCGCAAGCGCGCGAAATTCTCTCCCGCTGTAACTGCCTGGAGACACTTCACTACGGGACGATGTACATTGAATTGGATAATATCCAGCCCTGGAAGCACACCGTACAACCTGATCACTTGTTGGTGCTGAGCCTTGGGTTCAAGAAGGGTGCGCTACCCGACATACTCCTTGGATCCTTTTCTTTCCCAAGTATCTGCGAGCTCGTGATTCACGAAGGCGTCCTATCATCCCAATTCTCCCTCACCTTTATGATCGTTCACAGATCCGACTCGACACTTTAAAACTCGCGGAATAGATATGGGCGGGGACGCTCTCGCTGCGTCTCTCACGCCTCTTGCAACTCTGCGCCGACTATATCTAGACTTCTGCGCTTTCGACACCCAGCATGCAAGCTTTTACGTCTAATCCCACTACCACAGAGCCTCGACTGATCCTTCCGCATCTCGAAATGTTCGCTGTGACGGAATCCAGCGAAAATGTAGACGGCAGCTCCCTTGTCCTTATGGTCGAATCACTTTGCAAACAGACGTACCATCCGGGGAGCGCCTTCCCTGCCCCACTAGCTGTCTCTCTTTCCTTGAGCGGCGGAAAATTCGACAGCGACATCGAACGCCGCCTTGCCACCGCCACATAACCTCTGTAGGGAACGCAGGGAGTATGAAAACATTGACATGGGAAGAACGAGCGCCGACAGCGTCAAATCTCCGACTGTTCAGATCGTTGTTGCCTTTGTACTCCCTGTACAGACACAGAAACAGCCCATTTGAATTGGGGCAAGGGTAAACATTACAAATAAGAACCTGGGAGGATCGTGCGATACCGTCGTGCGGTAGCGGCCTTGTGTGAACTGCAAAAACAAATCTAGAGGACACATTGGAATTCTCGGTTTTGAATATCTGTCGAATTCAATCCCGCTCGCACTGTTCATAAATGCTGATGGACTTGAACTGGAAGTACGCATTGGCGAATGCTTCGGGATTGTTATCCACGTAGTCTGATTTTACGGCGACGCGTCAATTCGCGAACAATATCGTCTACAGGAAAGACCATTCGTACCATTACAGGTCGAAGGGCATCCAGAAGCAGCGTAGACACTCGGATTACCAGCGAAGTCACCGCCTGTGAAAAAGGACTTGTATTACTTCTCTAAAACAGGAAAGAAATGAAGGGAACAAACAGAAGGTGAGATTGATGATGATATTATGCGCATCGAAGAACTGGGCCAAGTTGCAGCTGGTATTGGGGAAGTTCGCCACCGGGATGCCCTTTGAACAAATAAACTCTTACGCTGACAGAACAATATATGACCGGCTCACCCATTTGCGGGTATTGACCTCTCTGCCTCCCTTTCTAATGTCCACAGGTACTTTTGCAGCCTTGCGAGACCAAAACCAGACAGAGATGGACGCATTCGTGCGTTCTATTGCATACCTGTCCAAGGGGATCAGTCAATGCTTGCATCCAGCTGGACGACATACCATCCTCCGCCAGCGGCATTGAACGTAGGTCCATAGCTGGATGCCTGTCCAACGCTAACACCACATCCCGCGTTAAAGTTCGCGTTGACATCACAATCCAAAAGGAGAGAAGTTCTGCGAGAGAAGAGGAAGTAATCAATATCTACGCGACCCGAAAATAAAGGTATGGTGAACTCGAACCCAGTTTGGTTCCGCACGGTAGGCATCGTGCATCCTGGAGGTGATATGGCATCAGAGAAGTAAGCCGTCCAGTAGCTGGAATGCCAAACCTGTTGCAGTATGCAGAGTGACTTGGTCAGTTCCCTGGTCGTTGACTCCCTCCTACCCGACGCAATGAACACAAGTTAAAATACACAGGACGAACAACGCACAAGAATGTCCACTTCGCCGCCATTTGGCCAAATCGCTTCATCGGTTTCCCACCTACAAGCGATAATTTGTTAGCTCGGAGGAGCTACCGTCAACAGTATGGAATAATTACAGTGCTGGCCACGTCCTGCATCATCCCGAAGTCGGGTGAACTCAAAGTCAAAATTATGAGAATGCTGGCACTGACCCACAACCCTGAGGCATGTGTACAATATCGAACCTGTCGCCGTGTGAACATTTGAAATGCATGGTTGATATCGAGGGTGGGAAGACTCACACTGCAACGTGTGTAGTATACCCCTTGTTAGTTCTTATCCGAACCGAATTTCGCCCCGTCGTACTGGTGTCGTTAATAACAACTTTATGGTCCGCCCGGAGAACGAATGTGTGTTCTAGGCATATCAGCCCTACACACTCATGCTTGCGAGTCGTAGATTCACATACCTGATGCGAATGTCAGGTTATGAATGATTGCTTGAGTTTTGTTGACATAGTTTCTAGAGGGAGGAGTCAGTGCATGAACGCTGAACAGAACATATGCAGCGATTACTCACACGCGACCGTGCGTCGGATCCGGGATCGCCTCAAAGTTGAACGCGTCGTAAAAGTCTCTGCCGACGATGTGCTCGGTGCGCCGATAGACGGCACCAAGAACCGAAGACACAGCCGAAGAAGCAGCCAGAAGACGGACGAAGATCCAGAATGTGTTTTTCATGGCCGGCAGATAAGCGGATGTCCACAAGTCAGAGCGGCGGTGAGGCCACTTCGATTGAGCAAAGGCCCGGCTTTTAAAGGAGCACACAGTACGGCGGAGACAGCAGATCTAGAATCCAATCGTCCGGACGGTCGATCAGTGTCTCAGAGAAGATAAGGCAGAAATGTCGATAGCCGCTCAACGAATGTCAAGAGGGTGTCAGTGTCGATGTCGAGTTTCCATTTTGCCTCATCTACTAAGCATGTTCCAAACATTCACTTGGAGTAAAGGGCCGTGGCTTCGCCCGGCACGACCTCGGACCTACTTTTGTTTGCCCTTTGTACTAAGTACGCGTGTCATGATCAGTTGGCGGAGCTCATAACCTGATAAGCTATGCACTTCAGTAGTCAGCTATGTTGGAATATGTGTCTCTATTCAATATTCGGCTCGTTTATCTCTTGACGTATCGGTTCTATTTTCGCTTTCCACATACACCCTAAATTGTGTCTACCTCGTCGTATTCCAGCGTTGAGTCGATCAGTATAGTTCGGCTCAACACCAGCTTCTTTTCTGGAATTCTATAACTCTATTCGGTCCAGCTGAGTCTGAGATCGGGACGCGTTCGACGCTTCAGCTTCCCCGTGTTGCATGCCTCCGGGCTTGCATTTTCAGAAGTTCCTCAGGGTGATCTTCATAAGTTATAAAAGATTAGTGGAGACTTGCTTCATCATGTCATATTCAT